TAGAGAGAGCGCTAATAGAGGGCGAGCTAGAGAGAGAGAGAGAGAATTCGGGAGGCCGGCGCGACGCGCGCGAGTAGGAGAGTGGGGCAGGAGAAAGCCCTGCGATAAGAACTCTCTCTTGTACCGGCGACTTCGAAGCACGTGGACGTGTGACGAGCGGATATACATGCTTGCGACCTTTTGTGATCTGCGACTATTTCCTTGGTGTTTCTGGCGAGTACGCGAGTGCCCACTCGGTGTGAGATTTGGTGCCGAGATTGCCCTGTGTTTTGCCGAGCTAATTCCAGCGACTATGCGTGCGAGCCTTCAAAGTCGCCCGCCTTTTGACCGCATTCGAGTTGCGTACTGCGCGTCCTCGCGGACCACGTGCGAGGCCGAGAACACCGTCTCCAGGGCTGACTCCGAGACGTCATTGTAAGTACCACCTCGAATACGTGTCTCTCTCGCTAGCTTTTCGCCGCTCTCTCTCCCGCTTACGCTGCGTACTAACTTTGTACTATTCTCTGTAGTAAACTCAATTTTTACCTATCGTAAACAATCCCGTTCCGTCCGGCTTTCGCACCTGAATTTCGTGATCGCTCCAAAGCGCCCATAGGACTACACGACGCTCTCTGCGGGCCAAGGTAACAGACGCTGCACCACGACGTTCCTGTTGCTGGTGGGTTAGGCTTTGCGCAGCCTATTACGAGGCCCACACCGAGCTGTTTCTAATTCCCTCGTAAATTATATAACGAGTGACCCGCGCTGGGTCAAAACCCCGTTATAATGTATATGTAAATAATTGTTGTGTTTATTGTTATAAGTAATTGTTTTGTGTTAATTTTTATAAATAATTGCTGTGTTTGTTCTTATAAGTAATTGTTCGTCTGTGTTTGTTGTTATTAATAATTGTTCTGTGTTCTACTCAAATTTTCTGTACATTTTTTGTTGTTAATCAAAAATTTGTTATAAATAGAAAAAAATTGTTTTTGTTTCCCTCCAAAAAGTTGTAAAAAGTTGTTGAAAAATCATAAAAAATTGTAAAAAAGTCGTGGAGAACTCACAGAATCATAGAAAATTCATAAAAGTCTATTTTAAATAAATAAAACTTTTCTTATTTGTAGTGTATACTACGAAAAAATGTGCTCCATGCTAGGAGCTGCAATAAATGCGAAGATATTGTTTCTTTTGTTATTTTTGTTTTATTAAGAATTTTATGTTCATGTTTATTATTGATAAAATAGAAAATCTTTATGAAACAAATGGTTTTTGGTATTTGCTAGTTTTTATTACGTCGTAAATTATCGCATAATCGCATATCACATAATCGGGTTAACACAAGCCTATACCTTACTTCTAACATCTTTTCCTCGTCATTCACTTTTTGGTTGGCCAACTCTGGAACACAGGAAAAGGAAGAATAATGTTTATTATATTATTTTATAAGATATCAATTTTTACCCAGTACTCCGTCGTGACTCTCTTTAGAAATGGCCAGCGTACTGACTTTTCCGATTGGTGTCATACGACGAAGCTCTTTCTTTTTTATCAAGAGTTGTGTGTGTGTGTGTGTGTGTGTGTATGTGTGTGAGTATCAATTTGGTTACCAATTTTTGGCTGTTGTTTTGATATTTTGCGATTATATTGTCAGATTCAATTTGGACAACATAAACCGCGGAGCCATCGCAAAGCCATACCTATAATGATAATATATTCCATCAAATAATAAATATTATTTTGTTATTATCAGTTAAATGGGTAAGTGTGTGCATGAATGTATGTTTGCCTAAGTGTATGTGCAAGTCTGCGTGGCGGTGTATACGCGTGTGTATGAGCTTGCAATCGTGCGTGAACGTGTAGAATCTTGTAAGCGTGCGAAAATGAGCGGGCGAGCCTGTGCATCTGTCAGAGCTGTACATGTATATTTTTGATGTATGTTCGTATGTATATGCTTACGCCATAGTACCTTGCCGTTTCCGAGTTCCACTCCAGCAAACTCCTTCATTAATATACTATTTAAGAATATCTCCCCGTTAGTATTACTTTTTTAATAATATATCTATGAGATTCATGCGCATGTGAGCTTACGCGGGTGCGTGGATATTTGTGAGCTTGCAAGCTTGTGTGTTCTACGTATTATACACGAGTGTGTTTGTATTTACTTACCGTTCAATGCCACCAGATCGATGTCCAGCCATTTTCACCTGAATTTTGCTTTATATTTTTTACCGATGCTTCTCACGTTCTTTGACGTTACAACACTATATTCTGTTAGGTCACATGACTTCCACAACACGAAGGAGAACATGTTGATGCAAGTAAATGTAGTACACTAACCGTTAGTCTTCGTTTTGACAATTAGTTATGATAAATAATGTGAAGTTACGTTGCTTGTAATTTATTAGTCTTTTACATAGAATTCGAAATTTTATTAATGTATGACGAGAGTGGTCAGTAGCCTATTTCTCATCGGTCCTTCTGCCTCTCTTCTTTTTTCTCGGCCAGGCTCAGTGGTCATCATAGGACCCACCTTTTTTTTCATGCGCCTAATACTGTACCTCTTTTTTTTAGCCGCCATAAATCGCCAGGCTCGGCCGAGATAGCCTAAGGAAAACGAGAAGAGACACTGTTGCTGAAGAAGAAGAGAGAGAGAGAAAGAGAGAGAGAGAGTGCGCTTGAGCACGCACTATACGGATATAGGCATGCGGGCAATGCGCGCCTAAAAACTGGGCTAAGTAGGGATAGTCCACGAGGCTGTGCAGGAGTATTGCGTTGCGTCACTCAGCATCAGCTAGTAATCCAGGTTAGTCGACCAAGAAAATTAGCTCACACTTCCGGTTATCTCGGTGGTTTTCCTGCGATAAGAGGTTTGTCTGTCTTCCATTCTGCGTGGCCCCGTGCCCTCACCGTCCGTCATCGTGAGCACCACCTACGCACGCAGTATCATCAGCAGTGAGAAACTTGACGATCGGCCTGTTCTGCCATTGTCACCTTCACCTCATGGAGATCATCGAGGAGGAAATAAAAGATCAGGTCATCTCTTTCCCAGTTTTTCTCTCTCTCACAGTGATGTGCAGCCGCGTGAACGTGTAGGTAGCCTGGTGATCACTCGCCGACTACCTTTGTTTGACTCTTTATCGGTATTTATATTTGCGTGATTTACTATATAGTTAAGTAACCAGGCGTTCACTTGCCAGCTATTTCATGCGGATTTTTATATTAGAATAAGTCGTGTTTGTTGTTTAATTAGCGTATATAATGTAATATGTGTTCAATTGATAAGTTTAGTTTTGATTAGTTTAAGCGCTCAGTTGATTGTAGTGTAAGAAAAGGTTTTGTCATTTTGAAACTATTAATTGTGGTTTATTTACTCGCTTACTTTTCGATTGCATGTAGAGCGAAAGCACCTCTCTTTCCTCCCCCTTTAATAATAGGTATCAGCCTGTCAAATCTGTTACAAATGTTTCTATTATTTTCTCGTATTTACTCATTATGCTACATTGATATTTATTTTACTCGGCTTTTTTCATGGATTTTTGTTAAAATTAAACATAGTACATTTTATGTAAACATTGAACCGATTTATTTTTGTCAATTGTCCTTATTAACTCAGCTGTATCAAGAATAAAAGTTGTAATGTTAGTTAGTCGCTAACAATTTACACCATAGAATTGATACGATGAACACATTTTTTAAACGCGACGGACTCTATTCTAGTAAAATTTTTCACACAAGACTTCATACGCGTGAATGAAGTATATTACGCTATACTTGTACGATTTTCATGTTTCCACTTTAATGTGATATTGGTTAGCAGTACTGCTCTTGTATTTATTCAATACTATGTGTCGAGGACTTGATTTACATATGTTTGAGAAAGCAAGGTCGCATCAAATCTCGCCTCATACAGTAGAAAAAATGATTTCACCCTCGTACTCAAATCACTTTCTTGCACTAATACGGAAATATACTATATCGTATTACAAGATTGTTCTGAAATAAATTTTATAATATTCTTGTATTATGTAATAGACTATTTTACTATCTGCAAGAAAATAAGCAGTGCAAAAATGCATGTACACACGTTTACGTTTAGAGGGAGAGAGAGTTACGTAGATCATCAAGAGAACGGAAAATTATTATGTTTTAAATCGAAAAATTGTTTTAAACCATTTTTATAATCATTAGAAAATAACAAAAGAAAAAAATATCGTATTTTTCCAAATTGTCTATGAATAGCATAGTTTGTTTTACGATACGCAGCATAGTTTTTTATAAACGCTTGTATTTTCGAGTTACTTAGTAATATAAATAATTCATTATTATAATTCCTCGATTGATGTCGAATAAAATAATTCATGTAAATTCAAGTAATTACTGAATCACTGAAAATTGCAGTTAGTAAGCGAAATTCATAATGCGCATAAATGTAGTTGAGCACCGTTTTCAGTCGATTGCGGCGCGCGCGTGTTAGCCCTCTCGTCGTTCAGCGCTCGCCAAGCCGCGTTCTACTGTTTAAATCAATCGGCTGATTGGCTGCTCTTTAAAATTGATTTTCTTATTACCTAATTATTAAAAAATTTTTTAAATAATTTCATCTTTAATAATTTTTCAAGATGAATCTAGTGATATAAGTTTCATTGAATATTTCAGAATCACCGTGTATTATAATGGACATTGTAATAATGGTCATAATTATAAACAACAGGTTATTTTTATAATATTTTGAGGAGATTCCTAAAATATCGTTAAAATAATCTAAACATGAGATAGGATAGAGTGTGGAAAGCTTATGACTAAAGGCACTACAAGTTATTATTGCAGCTTTTTCAATACAAAACTTTAAATAATATTTATTATTATTATACAAGAACGAATACGAATTACGAAATAAATTTTGTAATACTTAATACTGTTCCACCTCTTCATTGTATAGCATTTTGCGAAATGAAAATACTTTTAATATATATTATTATTTAAAAAAATTATTTGAATAAGTAATTTAAACCAATCTGTTACAGAGTAAAATTATCGGCAGTATTTACGTTGACTCGAGAAGTTAATATATTAGATTCGAAAGATGAAGCTAATCTTAATGTCCTGCAAAGGCCAGAATTAGGTATTACATTCACTAAATTGCACTGTTGGAAACTGACGGATTATGAAAAATGTGTTTTCCTAGATGCAGATACTCTTGTAAGTAAAAAAAAGATATAAATGACTTATGCTTACAGAAATAAATAAAAAATTATTGATTTTTTCATCTAGGTAATTAACAACTCTGACGATTTGTTTATTTACGAGGAATTTTCAGCGGCACCAGATGTTGGCTGGCCAGATTGTTTTAACTCGGGAGTGTTTGTATTCAAACCATCTGAGAAGACATTTAATGATTTGATAAAATTTGCTTCAGTTCAAAGATCATTCGATGGTGCTGATCAGGGTTTATTAAATATGTATTTTGACGATTGGGCGCATAAGGATATATCAAAACATCTGCCTTTCATATACAATACATGTACTACTGCAACTTATTCATACTTTTCTGCGTTTCTACAGTATGTTATTTTTTTAATTTTTCATAATTAGTTATACATTATTCCAAATTGTATCATATTTTATTACGTAAAATTCATAAATATATAGACGTTTCTCAAGATTATGCAACCAACTATAGCTATTGCCGAAAGATACGTCATATTTTGAGAAAGATTTGTGATGTAATAATTTTATACCTATGTTTATATTATGTAATAATTTTATGTAATAATTATTTTATTTTATTTGTGATGTAATTATTTTATCGATTACATATACAGGGTGAGTCATTTTAATTTCCCCAGTCTAATAACTTTTGAAACAAGCAAATTACGCAAAAATGTTTCAGACCAAAGTTGTAGGGGTTCAAGGGGGACATCTAGGGGTGACTTTGAAATTGACCTTGAGCTTGACCTTGACGGCTTTCTCAAGGTCAAGTCTATTTTTTATTGGGAACCCCTATTTCTGACCTCGGAATCGGAAAGAGCGGGAAATTTTACATCCAGATAACATCTTTTAACATGGGTCAAAATAAACCCTTAAGGTCATGCTAAGGTCAAAACTATCCTGGAACAAGAATCGAACAATGTAAGCAAAATACGAAAAAATGACTCAGAAAAAAGTTGTAGGAGTTCAAGGGGGACGTCTAGGGGTGACTTTGAAATTGACCTTGAGCTTGACCTTGACGGCTTTCTCAAGGTCAAGTCTATTTTTTTATTGGGAACCCTTATTTCTGACCTCGGAATCGGAAAGAGCAGGAAATTTTACAGGATTTAAATTTTTTAAATTTTAAAATTTTTTAAATTTAATTTTTTTAAATTTTACGGGACTATTCTTGTTTCCGTTCCCTATCCTTTTTTATTTTTCACCGGACTGTATGATTATTATTAATAAATTTCAAATATTGGAAGTTGTTGCTAATAATTTGCTATTACAAGTCTATTAAATTAATGAAACTATTTCAGTATCAATCTGATGTTCTGCAAAGAAATAAGAGTAAAAGTTAAATACATAAGGATAAATTTCATGTTCAATGAAGAATCTATTACATTTGGAAGTCGTTTAGAAAGTAATCGCAATACGTTCAGTCGTGATTTCAATTTTGAAAAAGCTTTAAATATTACTTTTGTTTTAACCATGCTTGTGTTCATTGTATCACTATCATTATTTCTTCATATTTGAATAAGAGACCTTTCTTATTGCCATCGATCATATGAAATCTAATTTGGACAATATTGCCTCTGCTTTCAGTAATATTTAATTTATATCATCTTTCTATGATCTTTGCCTTTGTTGATTTGTATTGAGGTTTTTTGAAAAAATCTTTTAAATATGGCTGATTTTACCCCAACAGAGATAGTTGATATGATTTGGATTTTAGGAGAATGTAGAGGTAATTACCGTGAAGCGTCAAGGTTGTATCGAATTCGATACCCACAAAGGTGCCATCCTGATCACCGTACCATTCATCGTCTTGAAGAAAGAGCTCGACAAGGGCATCTACGAAGAAGTCGACCAAGACATGAGTATGATGATAGAGATGCTAGGGTTTTGGTTGTCTTAGGATTGTTTCACCTAAATCCTCATATCAGCAGCCGACAAATAGAGAGAGAAACAGGAATACCTCAGAGAACCGTTATTAGAATTTTAAGAAGTAATAGATATCATCCGTATCATATTACCTTAACGCAAGCATTAAACGCTAATGATATGAGAAAAACAGAGTAAATTTCTGTCGGTGGGCTCTACAGATGATTTTGCAGGATCCGAATTTTTTTAATTATGTCCTTTTTTCTGATGAAGCTACGTTTCATAGTACTGGCCAATTGAATCGTCACAACAGTCATTATTGGCCTGATCAGAATCCTCACTGGTACAGACCAGTCGATAATCAACATCGTTGGAGTGTAAATGTATGGTGTGGAATAGTTAATGGTCATCTCATCGGGCCATTCTTTTTTGAAGAAAACGTCAACGGCAATGCTATTTTAGAACTTTTAAGGGATCATCTCCCACTTTTACTTGAAGACGTAGATCTTGAGACTAGACGTCGAATGTGGATACAACTGGATGGTGCAGGACCGCATTTCGCTTTAATTGTACGAGAGTTTTTAAATAGAAATTTCCAACAAAGGTGGATTGGAAAAGGTGGTCCAGTTGCTTGGCCTGCACGATCACCGGACTTAACTTCCCCAGATTTCTTCCTTTGGGGATACTTAAAAAATACTGTGTTCGCCGAAGCGCCCACAACAAGGGAGAATATGATAGAAAGGATTAGAGTTGCATGTAGACAAATCTCTAGAGATATCTTACTGCGCACTATTGAAAGCTTCGAACAGAGGCTCAGGCAATGCATCGACGTAAATGGTAATAATTTCGAGCAAAACCGATAGGAAATAAGTTTATTCTAGTTTCATCACGAATTGTGAGAGGCAAGGGGACTCACATTAATAAAGCACCCCAAATCGTGAGAGGCAAGGGGATTCACGTTAATAAAGCACCCCGAATCGTGAGAGGCAAGGGGACTCACGTTAATAAAGCACCCCAGAGGGAACATAATCCTATTACGTCCACGTCGTTGTTCCTGGGTAGTGCTAAAGATAGGAAGTTTATGATCTTAAACATCAGCATCGTTAGTACATGGCCAGTCCCTTATTCTTTAGAAGTTTATTTAACAACGGTCATATGCGATAAAAGCTTCGCCTCGAAATGTAACAAAAATAAGAGAATTTGACCTTTGCTTCACATTGAGAATAGAAGTACGACAAAGGTCTTCGATGCTCGTTAAACCTTTTGATGTTTGAAAGCGGCTTCAATTTCTTAAGTAAAAACTGAAATATTGTTTATGTTCTTATGAAAAAAAACTAAATAGATACTTGAACGTAAAATTTCCCGCTCTTTCCGATCCTGAGATCAGAAATAAGGGTTTCCATTAAAAAAATAGAAATGACCTTGAGAAAACCGTCAAGGTCAAGCTCAAGGTCAATTTCAAAGTCACCCCTAGACGTCCCCCTTGAACTCCTACAACTTTTTTCTGAAACATTTTTGCGTAATTTGCTTGTTTCAAAAGTTATTAGACTGGGGAAATTAAAATGACTCACCCTGTATAGAAGAGGTCGTGAATATAGATTAATGCTCTACTTAATATCTTAAAGCTTTCTAACTGTATAGCTTAGTTTTGGCATTATTAATAAGCAGTTTCCAAGAGTCAACCACCTGATGTTAAAAAAAATTAATTTTTACTTCGACTTCTGATCGTAGCAAGATCAGTCGACTAACTTCAAAACATTAAAGAAAGCTATTACTAGGAACAGAATAGCAATAAATTTCCTACGATGCTACGCGTATAAGTGTACTATAGTTCATAATAGTGCATCCTGAAGCAGAGAAATGACTATAATGAATTGAAAAAGTATATTGTTAAGATTATTGATAGTTGACAGTAACTACTCCGTGATAATATCCCGCGTTATCAAATATTATTTACTTCTGATTCTACATCTAATGTGTTAATATAGATCAACTAATTTAACAATACGCTTAATTATGAAATGTAATAAATAAATTCATTACTTCTGCTAGAATAATGATTCAAGGCTACTAAACCGACAATCGGTAGATGCTATGAATTTAGAATTAGCAGAATCTTTTATATTTTATATTTTATTGCTTATGTTCTAACAAATGATATAAAATCTTCGTTAAATAATATATCTATTTTCGTTAGAATTCAATAAGTTCAAAACTCTGCTTCTAAATTACGAATTTTCCCGAGGAAAAAGTTCAGAATAAACGGTTTTGTAACTCCTGATTACGATTTAGGCAAAAACAGTATAACAGAATCATATAAATGATCTTTCAACTAATCTATCAAGAAGTTGTGAAATTCATAAAAATAAATATTTGAAACGATTTCATAGGCTAACACTTTTTAGAATCAAAGATGCGAAATAGTGCATCCGAAGACATTTGGTGTGTTGAATTAGAGCTCAAAATTGCTTCATACCCTAGGTTTTTGAGATATTCTTATCGAAAAGGGTAAAAAACACTGTTTTTTTTTACAGTTTTTGGGCTTTCCTTCTATCGCGAATTTTTATTTTATTCTTAATCTGGAAACTGAATTGGAAACAACACAGCTTGCACTTTAAAAAGCACTATTTAATTTTTTTAAATCGATTATTACAACTAGAGATATCGTTCATTAGGAAGTAGAAAATTTATGTTTTAGATAATATACCAGAAAAAAATTTTCAGGAAATGAAATAACAAAACAAAAATTCATTTTCCACTTCTAAATCACAAATTTGACGAATCATGATAAGAGAGAGAAAGTAATCGAGTGGAGATAATTTAAAATGTATTTTTTTGCTGATTTATTATGAGGTAGGTATATTACAAAATTTACACTTTCTTGTTTAACCATGTTTTAGAGCGCTTTAAATTTTCACTCTTGGTTACGTCGTTTCTTTAAAGTCGTAGGCAGTGATTAAGTCGGAACATTCTTTTAACATAGTGCGTGCAGTGTTTATTTAAATCTTTCGAGCAGAAGTTCTATTTTTGAAATTCTAGAATTTTACTTGGACTTGAATTAGTAATGCTCATTGATGGAAATTGCTTAATGATCTAGAAAGGAGCTTTGAACATGTTCTTATTAATGACTTTTGACTAAAGGTATTATGTTATATGTCTGGTTTTTAACGGAATCTACTGTCTACGTTTAAAATAAATGTGTACAATGCTTCTCTTAATCTAATCGCTTACAGGATGTTTTTGCGTATTCTAAGCGTTACACTAATATTCAATCACGAATATGAGTTCAGTAGCTAGAAGGAGGTTGTACAATAATAGTTATAAATTTCTTTATTGGCTGACTTTATTCAGCAAAAATCTAAACGTTTAATGAAAGGCTTGGCATAGGCATAAAAAACTTTAGTTGTAGATAAGAAAAAAGCTCATGTCAAACATATTATACGTCTACATACTTCTGTCAGATAATTCGATTAATGAGGAAAATTATAAG